AAACAAAAGATGAAGTCACTGATGGATTGCTTTGAAGAGTGAAAAATTTCACTTTTTAAAGTGTCTCATATTCTCTGTACATCACCGTTATGATAACAAAAATGAAAAAAAAATCTCACATCAACCACAATAAATTATTGCTTTTAATTTTTAAAGAAAGCTAACAAAATCTGAACAATAGTTTCCTCAACATACATATGTGTGAACATAAACAGTAAAATTCAGATTATGAGACTTTGTTAAGCACTGACAATGAGGTTTGTAAGATCAAATAGCAGTTAGAATTTCACATTGGCTGAACTTATTATTTACTCCACTTGAACTAAAGAAGAGATGAAACCTTCAAGACCCACTTAAGTTTTACTGCTCTGTAACTTCATATGTCTTTTTAGAAAAAAAAATAACTAAAACCTTTATTATATGTCTCTATTTTCTTTTTCTGTTTTTAGGAGGCAATTGTGATTTCATATCATATGTCTCTTACAAAGTACTTTGTCAGACTTTAAAAGCCATGCCCTTATTTTGAATCCTGTAGAAGGAGTGTGTTCTTATCACATTGATTTCAAATTAGAAAGGAATAAATGTGACAAAGTCTGTGCTCTTGTAAAAGGTCATTGTGCTAAAAGATACTCTACAAAGAAAGAGAATGTTGTGGTCCATTGTGGGTACCATTTACCTATGGCAGACTTTGACCATGACCCTGTATTCTTTCTTTCTTTCTTTCAATCTTCATGGCTGTGTTTGGGTCTGTGCTGGAGTCTTAACTCCATCCAGGGCAAGAAGATAAAATAAAGCAGATACAATGCTGTGGTTTCTCAATAACATTTGCCTTCACTGTAACTTATATCCTGCAATTATGAATCAAGTTTAATTTAAAATAACTATCTACATCAGGAATCAATTAGCTGACTCAAGATAATTTGGGGCAATTATATGTATGTTTTTCAGTTCTGTTTTGCAAAGTTTTATTTGTGGCATATAGAAATGAGGGTGGTGAAAGGAAAAAAGCAGACTTGCATTTATACTGACCAGCAGAGGCTGGGCAGGTATCTTTAATTTGCTCTTTGCTGCTCCATTGTTGTGAATATTATTGTCTTCGAAGAGCCTTCTTAGTAATTGGTACACAATGGGCTATCTGACATAGAAGGGTCTATAAACCTTATTTTCTTAGTTTTATCATTACAAAAATAAGAAAATAAGAATAGCAATCTTATTGGTCTAAACAGACCATTGCAACTATGACTTGTAAAAGATATGTTCCCAAATACTATTATGATTTTCTTAAAGTATTCCAAGATTGCACTAAATATAACCACATCCAACAAAAATACACTTTTTTTCTGAAATGTCTTATTTTCACAAAGTATCTGTTCTTTTCTTCATTTTTTTTTTTTTGGTGTTGTTGATCCTGGTCCCTGAGATTTTTTGCTCAAAGCTAGCTCTCTACTCCTTGAGCTTCAGCTCTATCTCTGGTTTTTTTTTCTTTTTTTTTTTGTGGTTAATTAGAGATATAGTAAAAGTCTCACAAACTTTTCTCCATGGGCTGGCTTTCCACTATGATCCTTTTCTCTGAAACTCCTGAATAAGTATGAGCCATGGTTTGAGCCACAGGTATTCTACTTGAAGTATCTGTTCCTTATATTTTTTTAAAAAAATAATATGGATAATGTGTGCTGTACTCTATAATACATTGATTTTCATTCAGAAACTTGATACAACAAACAGACAGGGTATTATTATTGTTGTTATTGTTATCGTTACTTGTTTTTAAACTTGTTTCTGGTAATACTGGGAACTGTTCTCATGGACTTACATCTAGCCCCTCCTTTTCCCTTTCCCTTTCCCTTTCCCTTTCCCTTTCCCTTCCTTCCTTCCTTCCTTCCTTCCTTCCTTCCTTCCTTCCTTCCTTCCTTCCTTCCTTCCTTCTTTCCTTCAGCTCTTTCTTTCTTTCACTCTTTCTTTCTCTCTATATTTCATTAGTTACCTTTAGAGTATGATCTCTTTTTATGCTTGGGCCAGACTGGATTACATCTTCCTATCTGTGCTTATTGGTGACTCTGGGCTCACAGGTTCATACTCCCATACCCAGCACTTGGTTGAGATGGCGTCTTGTGAATTTTTATGCCCAAGTTGACCTCAAAATGTGATTCCCTGATCTCTCCCTACAAAGTTGTTATGGTGATGGGCTTGAATCAGTGTTTTTGGCAGGCCTTTTTATTAATGAGAATCACATACATTATACCATATAAAGCATGATACACACATCCTCATACATATTTTGTACACATAGAAGTCAGTATCCTCAAAATGTGTGAAGCAGAAATCAGATGCATACTGCTCAAAAGCTCTCATTTTTAGTCTCATATATCCTATAATTACTATGATTACTGTAAACAAATACAGGTGAAAACCACAATATTTTTTTTCTTTTTTAAATTAATTTATTGTTATTATGACAGTGATGTTCAGAGGGATTACAATTGCATGAGGGAACAGAAGACACCATAAGAAGGAAATATGCTCACTACCTGACTTAATGTAATTGAAAATCGTCATTTTCAAAGAGAAAAAAACCCTGTTGTTTGTTAGCCTCTAATTTGGGGAGAAAGAAGTTGTGGTGTTATTATTTCCTGGTGCTACAATCAGGCCCTGTCTTTTCATCTGGTCCTCTGAAGACACAGCACATTTACAGTGTAAAATATATTGTGAAATGTAATGACAGTCTTGTAACAATTGAAACTCAGGTGCAATATTATTATTAATAATAATTATCAATACTAGTAGTTACTGCTTTCAGACAGGAACAAACAAAACAGTGCTTTTTGTATTTCTGTAACAGTAAACCCTGCCTCTCATGGTAGTGGCTGTGGATATCTAGTGCTTCCAATTGGAATACATGAGGTAGGGACTACATCTCAGGCCTGCTGAGTAAAAATTATTGCTAGTACATGGTCTACTCTGAATATTTCATTTTTGAATACAGATATAAATACAACATATCAATTCTTATTGAAGGTTATGGGTTTTAACACCCATTATTTGAGTTTGAACTCAGGACTTCATACCTGTTTGATTTTCTTGCATAACTTTTACTTAACGACTTGAGCCACGCTTCCAGCACAGTTCTGTGCTCGTTATTTTGGAAATGGGGTCTTCAGATGTTTCTGCCCTAAGTAGGCTTGAGTTCCTCTGATCTCAGCCTTCTTGAATAGGTAAAATAACAGGCATGAACCACTCATTGTCAGTTTAAAAATCATTTTTATAGCAATCCTTAGACTATTGGATTTGCATTTTGACTTCCCTAGTGGATGAAGTATTTTGTGAAACAAGGAGACTGAGGATTTAAAAAATATACATTTGAAAACTTTACGCAACTTAATGTTAAAGTTCACCCATGTTGTAATAGGATCATTATCTCAAGAGCAGTTTATTCCGTATTCCAGTGTGATGCCCAGATAATTTAATATACTAGGACTTCATTCCATTTTGTTTTGGTCAAAATCAACTTCTATATATCATTTTCTGTAAGTACATTCATCTCTTGAAGCAATCTTGATTTCTGCTTCTTGATTTTTGTGAATTATGGTGCAGTTATCAACAGCATGCAATTATCTCACCATAAGATTTCTTTTGGGTCTACACCTAGTGGTGGAATTATGTGGTACATTTATGTTTAAAGCTTAGGGGAATACTGTTTTATTCTACTTACATGAAATTTCTAGAATATGCCACTTCAGAGGGATTGAAAGTAGATTGTAGAAGGAATGTGAGAATGGGACGTTTTAGAAATAGATAATAGTGGTGGTTACACCACTGTGAGTATAATTCATGCTACAGAATTGGATGTTTAATATGCAAATTTTTATGTTATATGGATTTGTTACAGTTAAAAATAGTAACATCACAATATACTCTAAGCAATTGAATTGTAAATTTCAAACGGGGAAAGCATGTTTGTTTTATTTCATTTAAACGCTATTTATACAAACAAGTCTCTTTTCTTTCTTTCCTTCTTTCCTTCTTCCTTTTCTTTCCTTCTTTCTTTTTCCTCCCTCCCTACCCCCCTACCTCCCTCTCTCCCTCCGTCCCTTCCTTCCTTCCTTCCTTCCTTCCTTCCTTCCTTCCTTCCTTCCTTCCTTCCTTCCTTCCTTCCTTCCTACCTTCCTTTCTTTTTTTGTGCTATCCCTTTGGCTTCAACTCAGGGCTTTTGTGCTGTCTCTGAGCTTCTTTAGCTCAAGACTAGTGCTCCACTACTTGACTCAGAGATCCACTTACACTTTTTTTGGAGGGGGGGGGGAAAGAAGGAGGGATGTTATTTATTGGAGATAAAAGTCTTACAAACTTCCCTGATAGGGCTGGATTCAAACCATGATCCTCACATCTCATCCTCTTAACTAGGTAGGATTATAGGCAAGATAAACAAGTCACCCTTCAAGCAGAAAAGTTGACTATCCTAAACCTATTTAATATTGACTATTCCTAGTAGCTAGAGGTACGTGGAATGAATTGGGTTTAGGAATATAGGCTTTTATCAACAAGAAGCCAGATGTTATACATCCTAAGGCCACCTATTAGTGGGAATAAACATAATTTTATTTAAATGTATTGGCTTTCAGTGTGCATCCTAAAGCATGAAAATGTGTTGATGGAAAAACTGGAAATATTAGTGGGTAAAAATAAATTTCTTATACATATAGGATACATATACACAAATACAATTGCACAGAGACTATGTTGTCTATATAGAGTCTCAAATATATACATACCCAACTTCTGTTTTCCTTGCCCATAATTTTATTTCAGATTTGCTTCATTTGAACTTTAGACTATCATATGGTTTGTATTACTATCTATAGTCTAAGCACCATACTGACTCAGATGTTGAAGCATGGTAAGTGACAGATTTGGAGAATTAAATGAATTGCTTTTCCCTGTGTTATAAAAGCACTTGTTTATATTCTCATTTTGCATGTTTAATTATTTTTTTAACTATGTTTCAGCTGCTCCAGTTGATGTACTAAAAGCACTAGATTTTCACAAATCTCCAGAGGGAATAACAAAAACAACAGGATTCTGCACAAACAGAAAGAATTCAAAAGGGTCAGATACTGCTTACAGAGTTTCAAAGCTAGCACAAATCAGTGCCCCAACCAAACAACTCTTTCCAGGTTTGTTTATCTTATTATTAGTATTGCCACTACTATTGTTGTTACTATTGCTTTACTTGTTACTATTTCTTTTGATCATGCTATGTCATACCCACTTACAGGAAAAATGTAATTTTTATACATTAAGCACCAAATAAATTGTAAACTTAAATTGATATAGTGAAAATCAGTAATTGTCAGTCATACTTGAGCAATTATAGCAAATATGCTTACTTGTATTTAAGAATTCATCCTTTCTTTCTTTCTGTTTTTCTTTTTTTTTTTTTCTGGTCATGGGGCCAGAACTTGGCCTCGGTGCTGTCCCTCAGCTCTTCAGCTCAAGGCTAGTGCTCTATCACTTGAACCACAGAGTTACTTCGGGTTTTTTCTGCTTATGTCCTGCTGAGGAATCGAACTCAAGGCCTCATGCATGCTACCTACCACTGAGCCACCTGCCCAGCCCCAGAATTCATTATTTCAAGATGACAAAACACAAAGATATAAATAGTTTTGTGACAATCCATTTTTATTTGTAATTGTGTAGATCATATTCATTGAAGTTTAGTGAGGGTGGGAAAACTTTCCCTTTAATGAGTACTTAGGTTACTTTTGGAAGCATGAAAATTTTGGTTTATTTTATTCATGACTTCCTAAAGCCTCTTGTTGAAAGAAACACTTGTGTTGAAGAGGTGAGTGCTGCATTATTTATTGTGTGATATTCTTGCATTGGTGGGAGTTCTGGAACCACAGATATTTTAAGTCTTCAGTTGTCAGGTTCCCATAATGGTACTGAAAATATGCTTAGCATTTATTTTTGCCTGTAAAGGCATAGTTGACATAATGGCGTTGATTGCCTAGAAATCATGAGGAAATGGAGATGAGATGCACATTTCAAGCATCATACTTTCCAAGCAGGTAGCTCATTGCACATCCTTGCTACTGAAGGGAGTCAAGTTGGGTGTCCTCATTCGTAGTTAACAGAATACATGGTGTTTCATAGACTTTCTCTGATTTGACCAAGTTATATTTAATTCTAGCTGATGTATTTTAAGGCAAATATTTAATGTATTATTAAACCTGACTTCATGGTGCTTTAGGGTCTTTTTGTAAGCAGTTTAGCTCCAGTTAACATCATTAGCCCAGTTAATGGATTGGAAGTCAGCTAAGAGATATTCGGTAATTTGCTTGTTCATAGGGAAAGGAGCCAAATGATCTGACAAGATCCAAAAATTGTAACTGAGATAATTTTCAAGCTTCCAACTATCTTACGCATACATTTGTAACTTAAAATATATTTATATTACTCGTTACTGTCCCTTTTATCATACTTTTCTAATAATTTCCAACTCATAAACATCTTTGTTTTACTTTATTTTAAATAATCTCATCATCAGATTTTACTATGTAGGTATTTTCTGTTTTCTTCACCCAGCCTCAATCATTGCAACTCATACTTAATATTTTATAATTATGAGGTGTGCTCTGATGAATTGACAAAAAATACATCTATTCACAATATCTTTACACATAATTTTCCTTTTCTGCTTACAAGCAGAATGACCGATGCCTTTCAATCTTTGAATGTGTGAATGTGTGAGGGTGATATTCAATACTTTCATCATCTTTTACTATTATCTGTAATAGAATTTGGGCTGAATGGCTTGAATAAGGATGCTCTTGAACATAGCCAAGACATTGGAAAATATACATCTTTGCAATTGGAAAATTTATGAATTGAGTAATCTTATGCCTCAAATAATATTTTCTATTTCACTTATTTGCCAGAATATTAGTAAGCTCAAATAGTATGTTGTATATAATATAATATATATGTTATAATGTATGATATATATAATATATGCTATATTCATAGATTATGTGTAGATCTTCTTTGAAAAATAAAGCCCACAATTTAATAAATTTATATTCAGTGACTTTTTATAAAAGTACAATAAGTAGTAATTGCTTGGGCTGGGAAGTTGGCTCAGTGGTAGAGTGCTTGCCTAGCATAAATGAGGCCATGGGTTCGATTCCTCAGTACCACATAAACAGAAAAAAGCCGGAAGTGGTGCTATGGCTCAAGTGGTAGGGCGCTAGCCTTGAGCTGAAGAGCTGAGGGACAGCGCCCAGGCCCAGAGTTCAGCCCCCATGACCGACAAAAAAAAAAATTATTGCTTAGCTATTTGAAATATACTACTTGTGGTAATCCCTAAATGGCATGTTTATTTATTAGGTGTTTACCACGTACATGTGTAGTTCAGATAGTGTGAGGGATACTTGTGTCCGTTTTCCATGTCAAGGAAAGAGAAGATGGAGGGATAATTGAGTATACATTTGTTAATTTAGAATAGCTGCATGTAACTATAAATAATAGTTCTGATGGATAGTGATACATGCACTCATTAGTAAAATTGTATTGTGTGATCAGAAACTCTTTAGTTGTTGAAAGGATGATAAAATTAATACTGTTCATGACATGTCACTACAACATTTCTGTACTGAAATAATGTGTGTGATAATGAACTTTTTGCAAATCTGAAATTTCTAACTCTCTGTTCTTCGTTTCTCATCAGGAAATTTCCCTGAAGATTTCTCAATATTATTCACAGTAAAACCCAAAAAAGGAATTCAATCTTTCCTTTTATCTATCTATAATGAACATGGTATTCAGCAAGTTGGTGTTGAGGTTGGAAGATCACCTGTTTTTCTGTTTGAAGACCACACTGGAAAACCCGCCCCAGAAGACTATCCCCTCTTTAGAACTGTTAATATTGCTGATGGAAAGTAAGTAATGAATGTTTTGAGTGTGCTGAAAATAATGCTTTCGTTCAATCACTTAACAGCTGTTTGTGTCAATTATTATGAAAAAAATAAATGAATAGTAAAATATTACCTTATGCCCAGTTTACTTCACAGTCTGGGCAGACAAACAAAGACTATTTTAAGATAAAATTATTGATCAATTGTACAAATGATATAAGGGTAAAGTGGAACAGAACAGAGGTTAGGCAATAACGTTGGCAGTGCAATTTTAAGAGGAGAAATCGGGGAATTAGTTCTTCACCTAGGTGGTGGTCCATCAGAAAGGTGAAGGCATAGCACTGTGTGTGTGTGTGTTCCAGGAGGAAGGATGCAGATGCAACATCCTGCTTCTAGTGGCCCCTTTATATTAAGCAATATCAGAAACACTAGTCCAGTAGGATGAAGAGGACAGCAAGCCAGCGGATATCTAGAAAGGAGGGGGAAGAAGTTGATCAGAGTATACTGCATGCACGTATTGAAAAATCACCCTTTTTACAAGTGCTGATACAATACAACCCTTTATACAACTAACATGCATTAATAAGAATTAGAAAAAATTATTTTTTGGAGGATGTACAAGAGTGTTATAGCAGGATGAAAATAATTAAAGACATAAAAAATTGTGTTCATTTAGCATTTTGCATATTAGGTGAGATGCTGCGATGAGCTTTCATTCCCACAGTTCAGTTATTCAGCACAAGGTCAAGTTTAAAGACCTAATCAGCTTGGACAATTGAATTCATCTTTATTTTGCTAATGAAAAGCACCAATCAGCCATACTAGGAAAGGTTTAAGTGAAGACACAGGCTTCTTGGCATGAGCTATGTGTAAATTTGACTCTCAGTGTATTAAGTGGCTCTTTATAGAAATCTTTGCTGTATTCAAATGTGGCAGGCATCTATGCTTGCTGAATGTGCTGGTGGAAAGAGTAAGAGATGAAGTGTATATGGAAATACATTTGGTCCTCATCAGTAGCCATGCCAAGTATCAGGGAAACAGACATTTGAAGAAGGCTCCTGCAACTTTCTTGGTACTTTCTTTTATGGATCGAGTCCTAGACACTTCTGGAATATTAATCTAGCACTTTTCCATTTGGAAAATAAATAAAATATAACCCAGAAAGGCTTACAGAATCCAAGTGAGCTGTACTTAGTGGTTTATGTTAGCACCAGATTTGGCTAATAAAACCCACTTCTTTAACAGTAAAGTTAGGGTGCGTTTCTAAAAGGCTGGCTTGGTCTCCCCTCTATGCTTGCCATCATCCCTCCCCCAGCAGCACCCAGCAGTATCTGCGAAGTGAATCTACCCTCTCAGTCCATACACACCCTGACCCTACTTTCTTCCAGCCTCCCTCCATTGCCTGCCAACCACTGTGGAAAAGAAGGACAGATATTGTGTCTCAGTCTTGGATCCTGCTCACAGTTGTGATCTCTAACCGTCTTGAATTTAAAGCTGGGGGGTGGGGGGAGGATATAAAATGTATGCCCTGGGAATAGATGGGAGGAAAGACAGGAGTATAGTGCATCGTGTTTTACAATTAGAACGTTCAGGAGCTGCGGAAGGATGGAGGGCAGTCTTTCAAGGAGAAGACATATCATTGATGGGCAATCTCAAGGAATAGACCACACATAGTCACTGATGACCAACTCCCTTGATACAGGAGCTGAAGAGTTTTTTATTGTCTAATTGTATTTCAGCTCAGTTTTGAAATGTGTCTTTCACAGCATTTTTACCTGTATAATGGTTTGGCACCCCAGGTCTTCCAGACTTAACCAAAGAATGACTTTGACTTTCGCAGGTGGCATCGAGTAGCAATCAGCGTGGAGAAGAAAACTGTGACGATGATTGTGGATTGTAAGAAGAAAACCACAAAACCACTCGACAGAAGCGAGAGATCGATTGTGGATACCAATGGGATTACCGTGTTTGGAACAAGGATTTTGGATGAAGAAGTTTTTGAGGTACCAATAAGTCAAACTTGCTTATGCTGACTGCTGGGAAATGCCAGGGCCTGTAATCAATATATGTGATAAAGCTAAGTGGCAATCTCTGGAGGGTGACCTTCTTCCTCTGTGGGTGTGGCGGAGGTGTTTTCCATTGTTGGATAGGAGAACCATATGTAATTGGTGACTAACTTCCAGGAAGCCCATTAAGTGATGGGATGATTTGAACATAGGGATACTATTCTCCTGGGAAGTACAAAAGGCTGCATTCTTAGCACTATGCATTATTTTCTCTGGAAGAAATAACACGTTTTCTTCATTTCCTTGTGTGGAAGATTAATTCTAAAAAAAAAAAAAAAGCAGCAGTCCTATATTCATTCAGCCTTGTTTTGTCTTTGAATAGGGACAAGGTGGAGATAATACTTGTAAAAAGATGAACTCCAAGTTGTAAGCCTTTTTATTTTATTTTTTAAGTAAGGGGAAAGTCATGGGATGACACTTCTGATTATTTCACTGATTATTGCAAGGGCATTTTTTTCTTTCAATCTTTTTTTAAAAATTTTTATTTAATCATTAGACAGGGTGATTCATGCCTTAAATTTCAGGATTTTTTGTAGCAGAAGAAATTAATCTGATTCCAGACCAATAAACAGATGTCCTTCTGAGACATTAGTCATTATTTTCATGATGGTTTTAGCATAATTTCCGACTCATTAATATTTCAGAGTACAGCAGAGTAAAGCTGTGTACTGCAATACAGATTGAGACTTACATATTATATGAAAGGTTTGCTATCTTTTGCTGATATGTGAATCAAAACAGATATAAGCATACACATGTTGCACAGACATGTAACACATATAGGCAGTACACATATTCTTAAAAAGAATAATGTGAGCTCACATTACCACATAGACTATTGCATCTTGTATTTATGTACATACCCTATGGCACAATGCTAAAAATAATGAACATTTATGACATTTTGCATGTTATTTATGATTATTTATTTTTTATTTTTTCTACTAGTATGTAATTATGGATTGTATTATCCATAAAGTATTTTAATCCACTGCATTATACTGAACAAAGTAATGAACTTGTTCTAATAATTGTACAGATTTTCCAGTGCCATTCATTGATTGTACACACAATAGTACATGATTATTTAACAGATGAATGAACATTACACACAATAATTATATGATTTTTAGACCTGCAGTCTTATTTTAAAATACAATCATACATAAACATTAGTTTCATAAGCTAACATATTTTTGTTTGTTTTTATAATCCATGTAACCTTATCTTCTAGGATCGTAAGTCCATAATATACTATAACATCAATAAATTTATTTCCTCTACTCTTGAAAAACAGCATTGAATTTCTTTTCTCATCTTCTCTTCCTCTCTTTGTTCCTCTCCCTTCCACCTCATTTGTTTCTCTGTCTGTCTCTATCCATCTGTTTATCTGTCTTCAATATAGGCTCTTTCAATGCCAAACCAGTACATAGAAATTCTCAGCCTCCTTACCCATAAAAGAATTGCAAATCAAAACAACATCGAGATTCCACCTCATCCTAGGTAGAATGGCTATAATCAAGAACTCTAATAACAATGGATGCTGGAGAGGATGTGGACAGAAGGGAACCTTACTGCATTGTTGGTGGGAGTGTAAACTTGTTTAATCACTTTGGAAAGCAGTATGGAGGTTCCTCAAAAGACTCCACATAGAGCTCCCCTGTGACACAGCAATCCCACTTTTGGGTATTTACCAAAATGTTTACAAACAAGACCATACTAAAGCTACCAGCACATCTATGTTTATTGCAGCATTATTTACCATAGCTAAGATATGGAACCAACCCAAATGCCCCTCAGTAGATGAATGGATCAAGAAAATGTGGTATATATATATATATATATATATATATATATATATATATATATATATATAATGGAATTCTATGCCTCCATCACAAAGAATGACATTGCCCCATTTGTTAGGAAATGGAAAGACATGGAAAAAAATTATATTAAGTGAAGTAAGCCAGGCCCAAAGAAACATAGGTCCTATGGTTTCCCTTATTTGCAATAACTAGTATATGTCTGAGTCAAGCAGAAAAGGTCAGATAGGTTGATGTTAGGGAAATGAACCCTAAGTTATGTATTCAAATGTTTTTTTTTCTTTCATGCGATTGTTTCTAACACATTTATAAGATTATTTCTTTGTTGCTTTGTATGTCCCTCCCCCACGGTATAACCCTGCTTTCACTATATTTGATGTCGGTATGATTTGTGGAGGGGAAGGGGAAAACCAAATCGTTTCAATAGGGATACAGGTGGACCCATTGCAACAATGAGATGTATAAGTCGTTATGTCGAAAACGAACTTTACAACTTTGGTGGGGGGGGGATTGGGTGGGGGGCGGGTGGGAGGAGAATGGCAAGGGATGGGAAGGGTAAACAAAGGAAGAGGCTACAATGCTTGATAAGAAATGTACTCATTATCTTGCCCATGTAAGTACAGTATTTTCACAATAAAAAAATAAATAAAAAATGCTGTACAGAGGGGTACCGTTACATGAGTAAGGTAATGAGTACATTTCCTATTGAGCATTGTTGCCTCCTCCTTTGTTTTTCCCCTAACATCCCTTCCCTCCCACCTCTACAACCCCTCCCCCCAACTCCCCACCCGAGTTGTAGAGTTCATTTTCAACATAGTGTCTTGTACATCTCATTGTTACAATGGGTCAGCCTGTATCCTTATTTAAGCATTTTGTTTTTTACTTCCCCTCCTTGAATTAGAGAAGTGTATATACAAGATGCAGGGCACCAACATCAAATACAGTGCGAACAGGATTTATACCATGGGGGAGGAACATACTGCAAAGAAACAAAAAAAATCACATAGTACATTAGAATAAGTTAGAAACAATAGCAAGCAAGAAAAAAAAGATAATTGTGTCCCTTTCTTGGGGTTCATTTCGTTTAACATCATCTTATATGGTCAAATGTACATGAGCGCTTTTGCTAAAGGCTAGCACTCTACAATTTAGTTCCACTTCCGGTTGTTTAGCAGTTAATTGGACATACGAGTTTCATGGTGACTTTTCTTCACAGGCTGACTTTGAACTGGGATCCTCCTGTCTCAGTCTCCTGAGTAGGTAGGGTTATAGGCATGAGCCACCAAGGTCTGGAGCATGATAACTTTTAACACTCAAGTGTTTGGGGTTTTACTAGCTATCTTTCTGTTAAAAATTCTAGCTTACTTCCATTGTCGTCTGAGAGAAGACAATGATAGCTTTCAAATTTGTTAAGAAATATTTTGTGGCCAAGAATGTAGACTCCGTAGCGAATGCCCCTATCAGTTTTAAAATGATACGTAATTTACAATTTTGGTGCGGTCAATAGATGACAGTCATACTAGTAATCATTATTAGTTCAGTTATATCTTCTCTATTTCTGCTCGTTCTGTTTGCTCTTTTTAGATAGAAGGAAGTTAAAAGTTCTTAGCAGCCATCAGTGCATCCATCCACTCATCCTTGACCTTCTGCTAGACTTTGCTTTCTGTATTCTACCTTCTCTTGTTAGCACATATGCATTATAGATTGTTACTTGTATTACAGCATTGACAGATCTATTATCATTATTAAATAATTATATTAAGTAATAATTATTATTTCAGGAATAGTATTAGCTCTGAAAACTTTCTTTGCTGTGAAATCTGCTTTGTCTGAAGTCAACAGGATCACTTCTGATATTTTTGATCAGTATTAACATGGGATAGCTTTTTACTTTTGCTCTCTAGGTGTCATTATTTCTAAAGTTTGTTTCTTCTTGGGCAGCAAATAGGTAGCTATTGTTCTTTGATCTATGCTGGTGATTTGTGCCTTTAGTGGATATATTCACATAATGAAGTTTTAAAGTGATTAATTATATATTGATTACTATCATATTTGTTTCCTATTTAATATTGGCTTTTCTTTTTCCATTTTCTATATTTTGTGGTTTCTATATTTTGCTAGTTCAGTAGCATTCTATTTTTTCTCTTCTCAGTTATATTTTACAAACTTATTTTAGAGCCAGACATGTGAGTACATGCCTATAATCCTAGCATTGGAGAAAGGGTTATGTTCAATTTCAAACTCCCCACTACATCCGACTCCGTTTTGACCCTGGCTTAATCTCCTTAAAATGTGTATTTTGCTTTTATATATGCCTTGTCATTTTCTGTTGAAAGTGAACATGATAAAATGGAGAAAATAAAAGAATTCTGGGATCTTTTCTGAAGTAGAATAACTGTAGGCAAATAAAAGAGAGAATAAGGGTAGAAAAAAAGAACAAGAAATAGAAAGTGTAAGTGCATCTGAACTCATGGCCTGTGAAAGTTCTTCTTCACCCCCTCTCTCTGAGGTGTGATGGGATGGCTGGAGGGGTGAGGTTGCATATTTGCCTTCTTCCCTGTGGAAGGCTGGAGGGACTCAAATTGAGATTTCCTTTCTCTGACAGAATAAATGTGTCCTGGTGACCAGATTTGGTTATCAACCTCCTGTGATGATGAAACCCAGCTGGAGCTGGTGAAGAAAGCTCCAGTTTTGGTAAAATCCCAGTCAGTTAGGCCGTGGTTAAGCAATTTCTCCTGAAGATATGTTTCATTTAGTACAGCAGAATATTTTGACATACTTAAAAAGATTTATCCTTTCCCCTCTTCTAAGATATCTCTAAAATGGAAACCTCTCAAGTATATTCATTCTTTCTGAGTGACATTTATACTATGGAAACCAGAGCAGGAAACTTGGTCTTCCTCTTGCCTTACTAAAATGGATGACATTTTATTACCTTAGAATTCTAATATCTTCTTCCTCTGATTTCCCTAGGAAAGCTCTCTGAGTAAAAAGGAAAAAAAAAAAAGGAAACCATCACTCATTATATGCTCCCTATCTGGCTGCTTTCGTATATAGAACATTACATCTAGTAATTATTTATTTCAATTTTGTCTGTGCTGTGTCAATATT